ATATGACACAGGGAAATACCGCTGTGTAATCCATTTATTTCAACAAAGTAACTGTATTCTGATTACCACCTTTTAAAGGGTAACTGTAATGGAATACAGTTCCTCATATTTTGCATTTTAATACGTAACGCAATGTAATGGAACATGTATTCCATTACTCCCCAACACTTGTCAGGTGGGTGATCCGGGTGATCCGGTTATTCATCAGTGATCTACAATCAGATTCTCTGATGGGGCTTATGGTTTTCTTTAGGAACAGGAAGTAATTAAGTAAGTAACAAAGCTAACAAAGCCAATCTGAGCCAAGAGCTTCCCAAATACAAGCAGTATATTAAATGCCCGACCAGAGAGGAGAGGACCTTGGACCACTGTTACAGCACAATCGGCGGGGTCTATCGCGTGGTGCTCCGCGCTTCACTCTGACTTTCTGACCACGTCATGATCCACCTGATCCCCGCGTACAGACAGAGGCTGAAGCTCTCCAAATCTGTCGTGAGGACTAAAAAAAACTGGAGCAACGAGGCTGTGGAGGAGCTTCGCACGTGTTTGGAGTCTACAGACTGGGACACAATGAGGGCTGCTTCTAACAGTTTGGACGAGTTTACGGACACTGTCACCTCCTATATCCACTTCTGTGAGGACAGCATTGTGCCATCACGCACCAGGGTGAGTTATAACAATGACAAACCCTGGTTTACTCCTAAACTCAAAAAGCTGTGGCTGGAAAAGAGAAAGGCGTTCAGAAGCGCAGACAGGGACTGCTACAGAGAGGCCAAGCACAGGTTCACTAAAGAAGTGGACGTTGCTAAACATCAGCACTCTGAGAAGATGCAGCAGCAGATCTCAGAGAATGACTCGTCCTCTGTGTGGAAAAGTTTTAGGAATATCACCAACTACAAGCCTAAAACCGCCCACTCCACTGATGACTTGCTCTTGGCCAACACCCTTAACGACTTTTACTGCCGTTTTGACGAGCCATCAAGCAGCCTTCACACCTCCAACAGCCCCAAGAATAGAGACACTTTGGACACTCACTCCCCCACCTCTCCCCCCTCCATAGAGCCATCACCACCATCAAACACTTCACCTACAACACCTCCCTCCACACCCCACACCAAGGAGGATTTCACACCACCTTCTCCCACCACAACTCTTTGTATTCATGAAGCAGATGTGAGGAAGCAGTTTAAGAGTCTGAATGCTCGAAAAGCTCCTGGCCCAGACGGTGTGTCTCCTGCCACTCAGACACTGTGCAAACGAGCTGGCCCCAGTGTATTCTGGCATTTTCAACTCCTCACTGCAGGCATGTCATGTGCCTGCCTGCTTCAAGTCCTCTACCATAATCCCTGTCCCCAAGAAACCTAGGATCACTGGACTAAATGACTACAGACCTGTGGCTCTGACATCTGTGGTCATGAAGTTATTTGAGCGCCTGGTTCTCTTCTACCTCAAGACCCTCACGGCCCCCCTCCTGGACCCCCTGCAGTTTGCATACAGAGCCAGCAGGTCTGTAGACGACACTATCAACATGGCTCTACACTTCATCCTGCAGCATCTGGACTCCCCAGAAACCTACGCCAGGATCCTGTTTGTGGACTCCAGCTTTGCCTTCAACACCATCCTTCCAGGCCATCACCAAGGCAAGCTTTCCCAGATGAATGTGCCTGGTCCCATCTTTGGGTGGATCACTGACTTCCTGACGGACAGGAAGCAGCATGTGAGGCTGGGAAAGAATGTCTCGGACTCCCGGACCATCAGCACCGGCTCCCCTCAGGGCTGTGTTCTTTCTCCTCTGCTCTTCTCCCTGTACACTAACTGCTGCACCTCCACCCACCAGTCTGTGAAGCTAATCAAGTTTGCAGATGACACCACTGTTATTGGACTCATCTTGGACGGGGATGAGTCTGCCTACAGGAGGGAGGTTGAACGTCTGGTGTCCTGGTGCAGCCACAACAACCTGGTGCTGAATGCCCAGAAGACAGTGGAGATTATTGTGGACTTCAGGAAGCACACAGCCCCACTCCCCCCATCATCCTGACTGACACCCTCATCACCTCTGTGGACTCATTCCTTCCTGGGTACCACCATCACCCAGGACCTGAAGTGGGAGCCCACCATCACCTCCGTCATTAAGAAAGCCCAGCAGAGGATGTACTTCCTGAGGCAGCTGAAGAAATTCAACCTGCCAACACGGACGATGATGCAATTCTACACCGCAATCATCGAGCTTATCCTCACCTCCTCCATCACCGTGTGGTACGCTGGAGCCACCATCAGGGACAAACGGAGACTGCAGCGTGTTGTGCACTCTGCTGAGAAGGTGATTGGCTGCAGACTCCCATCTCTGCAGGACCTGTACACCTCCAGGACACTGGGGCGTGCAGCTCGGATGTCAGCTGACCTTCTCACCCTGGACACAGTCTGTTTGACCTGCTCCCGTCAGGCAGGAGGCTCCGTTCGCACCAGAACCTCTCGCCATAAGAACAGTTTCTTCCCCTCTGCTGTTGGACTCATGAACAATAACCGCATGACTGTTCCCACCACTAAGACAATTTCCTAATGTTGTAAACCTGCTCAACATTTGGCAATAAAATGGCCTGGTAAATGGCCTGTATTTGTATAGTGCTTTTACTAGTCCCCTAGTAAAACCCTTTCTGATTCTGATTCTAATTTCCTGTCCGTGAAACTGTTCTGCAGGTCGTTCCACTTACTGGAAGTTGACTTTGTCCACCTGAAACCTGGTTTCAAAAATCCCTGAAGTCAGAACTCTGCAGCGCAGCAGGTCCTGCAGGAGGAGAACAGTGAGTCAGCAATAGGTGAGTCATGCTGGGTGCTGCTGTTTGATTGGCTGGTTCGTTACCTGGTCGGTGGGTGAGTAATCGGGCCTCCGAACTGAGTCCAGCCGATTCAGGAAGCTGAAACACAGGATGAGATGATGATGATGAGAAGCTGTACAGGAGTGTTGTGATTGGTCCACTGAGATTGCAGAGTGTGTGATGGTTTGTATGTCTTTATGAGGACACAGTTCTCTTTGCAGTGACAGTGCAGTAGCATTCAGGTGTGGCCTATGTTTGACTGTGAACTGACTACACCTGCCAATGGGATGCCTGAGAATCTTTGGGTTACCAAATGATACAGCTAACTTCTTTTGTAATTTAAAGTCAAACCCATGCTTCTTCAAGCTCTGGTCTCAGTCTCCACATTTATGCTTTTGAACCAAGTTGTAACAAGAGTGAGGGTCAGAAGCAGTATCTGTGCTGAGGTGTGCCAGTGCCCTGGGTGTAATGAAAGACTCACAAAGACTGGAACATGTGAATGTGAGTGTCTTACTACTGAGCGCAGTCAATCAGCTGATATTCATTGGCACGCTCAAAGCACGCCTTCACACCGTCGTCCTCCCACAGCTTCTGAGTATGCTCAAAGAACTCCTGAAAGATCAAAAGTTTAGCTTTGAAGTTTCCTGTCGAAGCATGATTGTAAATCCCATCAGCATATCTGCAGGGGAAAAAGGGCGTAGACAACGAGGAAGAGACGGCACACTTTTTGGAGATGCTTTTTCCCTCACATCGTCTGACTGACTGGATGACTTCATATCAGAAGTGAGGAAAAGCAAAGTCAAATGTGATGAGACCGTAACATGGAGATTTTTTTCCTGTGGACATGCTGATGGATGTTAGCATGATTGTGTTTCAGTAGGAAATATTTTGTGCTGAGTAATAACCTGTGATGCTGTAAACTGTTTGGTTGTGTTGGCTAAGAGAGACTCATTTATAGCATAAAGTAGCACTGATAGCTGATCATCTGCTTTGCCAAGCTGATTGGCTCGATACACCCGGTGTTGCAGGGAAAAACTGGGGTGTTGGACTCCAGCCGGTCGGTCTGGTGACTCAAACAGGCTCTCCACCTGCACACTCCTCGTATATAATGTGCTTTACAAACACCAACATCACAGCTAACAGCTGTTTCAGTGCAGCACTTCCTGCTACAGACACAGACAGTAAAGTGGACAGTCTTTCCTGGTTTAACATGAACTCACTGCTGCAGTGATCCCGTCACACTGAAACCTCGATCCAGTTTGGGACACAAAGTCAGTTTATTTCATTCATTTTCATGCGTTTGCTGTTCAAACCTAGGCTTCCTGTCTACGCAGTAGAACGTCACAGCTCTGTAACCCTCCGGCCACACTGGTATGTCAGTGGGCAGATGCTGTTAAACATGAACTCACAGGTAGTTGATTTTATCATTTAAAAATCATGTGCTGCTGACTGAAGGCTGGATGAACAGAGCTCATGTTGCTGGATATTACAGTCGCGTCCACACCTAATCTACTGACGAGGAGCTGTGATTTCCACAGTTTAATACTTTCAGGGCGGCTGACACGTTGGCAGGGCGATGTCGGCTGACTGGACAGCAGTGACTGTGCCGTGAAGCGTGTGAGAGTGAAGCAACGCAGGAAGACATTTGTTTTGAGTCTCTGAGTCCTCCGAGACTCCACTGTTTGTATAATGAGGTCTCAGGTGATTCCCTGAGGTAGGTGTGTGTGCGGCTGAGGTGAAGCCGTTACATCATGTCATTAACATCATTAAAACAAACAAGATTTAAAGCAGGTCTCCTGGTGCTGCTTTAAAGGTGCAGCTCACCTGTAATCAGGTAAGTCTTCTCTTAGCTGCTGACGACTGCAGACAGCTTCAGCCGAGCTGCCTGTATGTGTGTCACACCTTGGTCTCACCTGTCCTGCAGGAAGTCCTGACCATTGGTCATGAGGTGGCAATACGGACGTGTTGGATTAACTTCATCGCTTTCAGTGATTATTTATATTTCTGTGATGGCTGGAAACTTAAACACAAACTGATCTTTACACAGAGTGGTGAAGAAAATCCTTTTGACAATTCACACAATCACACCCCAGTGATGTCACCCACTTCAAATCCACCAGCGTCAGCCTTTAAAACAAAAAATAAACACCTTTAACAACTTCTTTCTTCCAGCCAGTCAAACGTTCACACGCCACACGACCTCCGACCGTCATGCGATGTGTCGGATTTCCTGCAGGACTGAAAGAAACTCGCCTGTTTATGCTCGCTGCGCCAGCTTTACAGGTAAGCAGCCTCACCTGTTTGTGTGTGTGTGTGTGTGTGTGTGTGTGTGTGTGTGTATTACCTCGGTGTATTCAAAGTCAGACAGAGGACCGATGCTCTTGATGTAGTCCGCTCTGAACTGGTTACCAGGGTTACCCAGGGGAATGGGCGGAGCCAGAATAGTCATAGCTGACACAATTGTCTAACACACACGCGCACACACACACACACACACACACACACAAAGATTTGCTCCAGCTGTCCGTCACCACCTGTGATTAACCTCCAACTGGACATTGTTTTTCAAATGTTTGAACCAATGACTGAGGTTCTCTGTGTTTGCCGTCATGTCACTCACCACGATGGCGTCCTTCACGTTCTTCCTGATGTCCTGAACCTTTTGCTGCTTCTCCCTGAAAGACCAACATGAAAACTGGCTCTGGTAAAACATCCTGATGCCTCAAGAGTCTGAACATGTTCAGCTGCAGTTTGTTTAGTCCTCAGTCTCCATCTACACCCAACTTCTTGTCATTCAAGCTACACTCCACAAGATAAAACTTTATTTTATCTTATAACTACTTCCAATTCAAGTCACAAACAGAGACACATCTGGGCGTCTCCACCTGTGATGATGTCATTATTAGAAATATTGATCCAAAAAACACTTATTATAATAACAAACACTTTGACATTGATGAGGGATTAAATATAGTAACTCCAGCATCTACCGAGGCCATTCATAAACATTTTTCACAAGCGGAAGACAGCTGACAGTTTTTGTTTTATACTTTGTGAAGCACTTTGTGATCTTTTATCTAGAAATGTGCTATATAAATAACATTTTACTTACTGACAATTTTCCTAGGAGTGGACATCCCAGCAAATTCACCCCAAAGACTGAACAGGTATGGACAGTTTGCAAAGCTGCATCGTATTAAACCATAACACTTACACTTTTATACAATACCAAAGTCAAGATATTTGTTTTTTATGCATGTTTGGAGAAAACCATGGTTCTGTCTAAGACCTATACATCATGCCTACTGGCCAGGGTTATGTATTTAACCAACCACACTGCAGTCAGCTGATGCTTTAAAGCAAGTGGATCTGCTTTGTGCAGTTTCAAACTTTTCTTTTAGATGTGTTGGTTTAGCAGAAGCATAACTATATTTAAGGATGCATGAAAGTTTTCACAGCCAACCTTCATGTGCTTTGTGGAAACAGCATTTGACCACATTCCACAGGGTGTCCTGTGTCCTGCTGAGGGTGCATCAGTAATGTAGGGTTAACTGTGGACTATTCAGTCCCTGTACCATATATGTTTACCTTACTAGCTATGTTCTACATCCTATTCATTCTTGGTGGGCTCTGCCAGACTCGCCTTTTGTCAGTCCGTTCCTTAATGGATAGAACTTCATGGCGTATCCAAGTGATGGAGGGATCTGCTTTGATCTCTCTGCACTTTGTGGATTATGTGATTCTTTTAGCACCGGGTGCATTGGTAAAGCAGTCCAACTTCTGATTCTCAGACAGAAAAGGGTGCAGTGTCTACTGCTGACTCAATAACAGCAGAGTTTCAACCTAGCCTGGCATTAACATCAGCACAAAGACTGAGCCAGAAGCTTCATGGCGTAGGTTTCCGTGAGCCAACACCTACTGGTTATGTGATCTGGACGGCCAACTATTTTTCTAGTTTAATACACTGTGATGTATGCATGCGTGTACGAGTGTGTATGTGCTAATGGCTTTAATAAACTTACTCAGCATTAAAGCCGTCCACATGAAGAATCCTCATCTGTTTGACAATGGTGCTTTTACCCGATTCTCCTGCACCTACAGACAGTTACAGACAGAGAGATGGATGGACAGATGCTATCCTTACAGTCAACATGGTCTTCATCACACATAATATTCAGAAAGCTGAGCCAGGTTTTTAGTAGATAAAATGAGTGGTTGCTCTTTTCTTCTTAAATCACCTACTGGTGTAAACACTAGGGGTGGGGGAAAAAATCGATACTGTGTAGCATGGTGATATTTTGTTTGCTAATAATGTATCGATACAGGGACAGCAGAAATCGATATTTTGTTACAAAAAGGTTTTTGTGCTCTGACTTCAGAGCATGTTGATCCTTTTTCTGAGCAAGAATCCTGACATTCCTTCACTGTCCAAATGTGTTTAACTTGTTTTTGGCAGCAATAAACATGACAGTTTACTTATTTTAATTTAAGACATGTTTTATTTTAATTAAGTTTAAAACTTTATTTAATGTAAAATTATATTTTGTTTTAATTTACTTTCAAATTCTTCAGTTGCTGAAGGGGCTGCATAGTTTTCATAAACTGCATAGTTCAGAATAGCTATAATTGTACCAGATGGTTGATTCAGTTAAGTTGGACTAGACTGTAATACAAACCGTTCAGTTTGTCAACAATAAAACTGAAATGAGAGAAAGACTGAGTGTGAGACTTTGATATTAGAGAAAATGAATATTGATAAAGTTTACCTTTATGTACAGAATCTGAATATCGCAAAATATTTTTAAAAATTGCAATATTTTTAAAAATAACGTATCGTGCGTTAAGTATTGTGATAATATCATATCGTGGGATGTATGGTGATTCCCACCTCTAGTAAACACATGGAGTCTCATAGCTTTCATGGGTGACGAGCTCAAGAGCTAAAGTCTGATTAGAGATGTCAAGTATTGTCATAATTTATTGTTGGGTAACTAAATGTTGTGAGTTTGGCTAAAGTTCAAAATATTATTTAAGCTTTGTCAGAGGACCCAAAATCTGGTGACATGACAGTGCTACTGTGACAGATTCTGAAAGCCTAATGTGGCCTTATTGTGCCCCACATTTGGAACCACTTTTTAAAGTTAATTCTGAAATTGCTAAAACCAAAATAAATTGAAAGAGACGGCGGCATCTCACCCAGCAGTAAGAGTCTGTGTGTAGCTTTGTACGTCTGTCGTTCCCTCTGCAGCTGCTTCTCGATCTTCTTATTTGCTTCTCTCTTTGCCTTTTCATCCAGTCGTTCTTCATCTGTTTTGCCGCCCAGACAGCCCATCTCAACTGGAACCATAGAAACCAGTAAGAACCTGACAAAGACCCACCACACAGCGCATCTTTGTTTTTTTTAATGCGTGTAAAATTCTTGAGCCACCCCTCAGGTTTTTTTTATAGCTCGACCTCCTGGTGACTTTTAAAGTGCTCTTGAGCAGTTGTTTTTCAGGCTTTGAGGAAGCTCCTTTAAAGTTCTTCTTTGGCTGCTTTTTCATTCATGTTTTTGACTGTTGGCTGACAACTTGGCACATCGTAGCAGGGACGGCGTAAGGGGGAGAAAAGTCGACTTTAAGGATCGTTGACAGAAATAACATTTGTTTACTAACATTAGTTTTGTTTTCTTTTTGGCAAGGAGGAATAAATCCAGTTAGCTTCTGGCCCCGCCTCACCCCACCTTATTTCATGATTTGGTCCAGGAGCACGCCCCCCAGCTGATGCCGAGCAGTAAGACGGTTGGATGGCTCCATTAAAACTTGAAGCCTGGGATAGACAGACGGGTGCAAATGAAACTCGTAGTGTAGGAAGCTCGAGCAGTTTCTTCAGTGTTAGCTAGCTTACTTCATTCCTAACAGGAAAAATGTCTTTGGTGTGTATGGGTCTGCATGTATTTAGCTGCTGCTCAAGTGCTTTACTTAAGTACACTTGTACTAAAAAAGCAGATCTATGCTACGCTAGATCTTGGTTTTCAGTATTCAAGTTTTTTTAAAATAGAAATCTGATAGCAGTAGATGAAAGTGTTACTGTGGAGAGCATTTGAAGAATGTGTATGATGGATCCGAGTACTTTTACTTTAGATGCTACAGGTAGTTTATTTTTTAATTGAAATGCTGAGTTTAAATTGTAGAAGTTGTTTAACACAAACCAGATTTAAAATCCTTGCAGTCATGTGTGGGGACACGGAGCCAAACAACGTTTCTTACACTGGATTTGTTTTTTCCTCCTAGAAACATCCTACATGGTGGATCACACACAGCAAAGGATTTGTGTATTTGTGCTTTTACCCTTCACAAATACTTTCTGGTCTTCACTGCCTGGTTCATGCCTGACAGGTCTCTCTGTCACACTCACGTAGATTTATAACAAGCAACAACAAAAACAAACCATAGAGGACAAATGGAAATGAGTTTCAATGGAAAACTAAATCTTAAAAATGTAAATAAACAGTTTTCACTCTTATAATAAACTGATTGCTCTGAGAAACTACATTCTAAACAACTGTAAATGAGCTGGGTACAGGACCCTAGCACTGATCCAGTTTAAAAGCAGCAGTCTGAAAGGTACCGACCCGTGATGTCTCAGCAGCTCAGGATCAGTCCGGCCATCAAAGTCCACGAAGAAGAAGAATACAGAGCTGTTGGCCCAGGTCCAGTTTCAGTCCAGTTCAGGCAGACGGAGCCGGCTGCTGCTGCTCGGGTGTGTTCTTCTCTGAGTGGTGACACACCTGAGCAGCTCTCTCCCACCTCCCTCCCCTCTAAGGTCTCTAACGGTGCCTCATTAGGCATCTCCCCATCTCCTTTCCTTTGGGGGATTTTTTCTGTTTTTCCTCTTGTGTCAGTTTGTTGCCTGACGACTAGTGGCACAGACGCAAAAACAAACTGGTTTCAGGCAGGACTCTGTTGGACCAGAACAGACTCCAATCCAGATAAAAGGTCAAAACTGATGTTTGGGAGGAAACGGGTGCAGAAATAAAACTCGGAAAGACAAATCTGAGATATTTCAACATGCGATGCGTTTCCTTTGTAAGCTTATTGAAATAAATGAAGCTTTGGGAGATGACATGACTGGAGTTTTTTTTAGATTTAAAGCTGAGCAGCTCCTCGTACAAACACTTCACCTTAACTCCTTTTATTTCTTCAGCCATGCAGCTACATTAACATGTGGCTCACATGGAGTCAGTGTAATCTGAATCATAAATAAAGGTTTTTGTCCACAACCAACTGCAGCTGTTTTAAACACCAAACTGCAGAAAGCTCTGAATCTCTGGCTGATAAGCTGCATGTGTGTGATACAGACCTGTTTCATAAACTGTTTAAGCAGCAGGGGGCGCTGCTGCACAGGGACCAGTACACTCAGTGTTTCACCCCCTGTGCAGGCTCAAGGAGCTCATCTCATTTTTTGTTTTACTGTTGGCATTATTCCCCTCATATTTATTAAAACATTTTCTTTGTGTTTGTTCTTTGGAACAGACATCATTTCTCAAGTGCTCCACCAAGTTTGTCTCCACCTGGTGGATTGGTCAAGTCACTGCAGCCTGTCAAACTTTAACCATGGCAATGAGCTGTTACTACTAAAGACAAATAAAATATAAACAAATAAATGTCAGCACGTATCGATTATTGTAACGCTCTCCTTTCTGGGCTACCAAAGAAACGTTTTAGAGGTTTACAGATGGCAGGCATGCTCTGTGGAGGTTTTTAAAGCTAAGTTGAAGACTCACTTGTTCATCCAATCCTACATGTCTTAATTCGCTGCCTTTTTAAAAAAAATCGTTTTTAACTTTTATGTTTTTAAACTTGTATTGCTATGCATCACTTTTATTTATTTATCTTTTTATTTTCAAAGAGGTGTACTTTGTCTGAAAGCGCTTTATAAAATAATCATCATCATCATCATCATTATTATTACTATTATTACTACTACTACTACTACTACAAATAAAAACAAACTCACTGACTTCTGCTCTTTGTTTTTATTTGTTGTCTTCAAATATATTTTGTCCATATTCTGAGGAGAAACTTAAACACTAAACTTTGTGTTCTAACAAAAGAAATTGAAATGTGTCTCTCAAAGACATCTGCTTTTTTACTGGCTGGATGGATGCTCCACCCCCGCCTCGCCACCCTCCGAAGACTTCAACCTGAGGTGACAAAAAACGAATCCTGAAGATTTAAAGAGTCTGACATGTTAAAACTAGTCTGGATCAGTTAAGTGTAAGATTTAAAACAAAATTCAAACTCGACCTTTCCGTGTGAACAGGTGGAATCAGACTGACCTCTGCTGTTGTTCAGCGCAGAAGGAGCTGAGTCGTTGCATCTCAGACTGGAAAAAACAATTTTTGGATCAGGTCTTAAAAAGTAAACCTTTGGTTTTGAAGAAGCCACAACTTTTCATCAGCTTGTGTTTTTCTTGGTTGTTCAGTGCATATACTACAGACTCATATATTCCTCAAATACACCTCACTGTCATTAGTAGTAGAAGTAGAGATAAGTTTCTCGGGCCTCGCCCTGTTCCCCACCACCAGTCCTCATTTGGGGCCACGGTCACTTTAAGTTGCTGTGAGTTGTCACCACAACACCATGAAACGCTTCCACTGTGGACGTAGCTTTAGGCCTGCTTTGACAATCTCAATGAAGAGAGCACTACAGATGTGATGTTTGCTTTGAGAGTGTTGATGGAGAAGTTTAGACCAAAGTCATCTTTGTGGATCAGAGAAAGCAGATGATAGAGTGTCAAGAGAGCAATTTCAGGAGTTGCAGAGAAATGTGTTTAGCGATAAAGTTAAAGAGGCGAGGCAGAGATGGTTTGCAGTTGTGCAGAGGAAATATCTTAACTTTGGGGGTTAAGCTGAGGAGAAATGGAAGCTTATGCATAAATGCTAAACATTTTAAAATAAATTTTCAAACTACAACTTTGCAAATCAGAGGCCGTGATTTAGCACTCAAGTGTTTGAGCATGTACACAGACTGTAGTATTACTGCAGTATGTGTCAGTACCTGGATCTGAGTGGCTAAGGAGTTCAGGTTTGTTGAGTTTTCTTCAAATTGCTTCACCTGATCAGACACACCCTTTTCCAGCCTCTGTAGCAGCAATAACCTGCAAACACACAAACACACAGCGCTGTTCAGTCTGTTTTAGCTGTTGTTCTTTCAGTCTGTATTATTCTGTTTTTCAATTCAACTTTATTTATACAGCGCCAAATGAGAACAGTCGCCTCAAGGTGCTTTATATTGTAAGGTAGACCCCACAATAATCCATACAGGGCAAAACCCAACAATCATATGAACCCCTATGAGCACTTCGGCGACAGTGGGAAGGAAAAACTCCCTTTTAACAGTAAGAAACATCCGGCAGAACCAGGCTCAGGGAGGCGGGGCCATCTGCTGTGATTGGTTGGGGTGAGAAAAGGAAGACAGGATAAAAAACATGCTGTGGAAAGAGAGATTAATAACAAGTGTGATTCACCAGAGAGTTCTATTAACCCACGTTGAGTGAGTGAAAGGTGACTCGAAAGGAAAAACTCAATGCATCATGGAAATCCCCCAGAGGGTCCTGAAAACTGAAGGCTCTGCCTCCCATTCTACCTTTAAATACTCTAGGAACAACAAGTAGGCCTGCAGTGTGAGAGCGAAGTGCTCTAATAGGGTGATATGGTACTACAAGGTCATTAAGATAAGATGGGCCTGATTATTTAAGACCTTGTATGTGAGGAG